TGAACTGCGATGTGAAGTGATCCGCCCAGAATTCCAATCTCTGGTGAAGGCTGTTTATTCGCAGATTGTTTCCCTAACGCACTGTCTTTTGGGACCTGTAGTACGGATGAGCTGGAAGAGTTGCCAGGCGTTTCCACATCCTCTCCATCTATAGCTAATAGCTAAATGGTCAGTCTGACTCTACGTCTGTGCCGAAGAGGGATTACGCCCGGTGGCAAGGTGACACTTAGAATGTCTGTTCACATTGTCGGGTGGAGCCCAGCAATAGTCTGTGTATCGTTCATGCATATGGGATGCACAACAGAAGTGCAGTCGGACGAGAAACTGCCGGGGTTTGCAGCATGCGGTGACGCTGTCACTTTCCAACCGATTGGTTATTTCTGCACAATGTCATCGTACTTTTCTACATTTCAACACCATCTCACACTGAATCATTGGTTGATTTCTCATAATATTTTGGTTAGTTCCCCGTACAAAATGACACAATTTTGGTGCAAAATGCTTTCAAAAACAATATCACCACATTATATCTCACTTAGGTCTGAGTTCAAACTATACACAAAACAGGTCACACTTGATATATATGTATACATATAGGGAATCAGTTCATCATTTGGTCATGAGCTGAATACTGCTAAGTTGCCTGAATCAAGCAGGTGAAATTTGACGACTAATTCTTCCGATCAACCAAAAGCCTGACACAAGACAACGGGGCTCTGTGTGAAAACCGTAGTTCATCGGAGCTCAGCACCCATTCGCCGGATCGTACCCCCGGGTTTCACACATCCAAGGTGTCCAGTAAACTCTGTTTTTCAGTGGAGTAGATGGCCTATTGAAACCGGGAGGTCTTTGTGTCTGATCCTATACCTCCTCTTGGTAGGCCCGTGGCTGATCTGCCCGGTTATAGCCCCGTTTATCGGCTTTTTTACTTTCCCGTTTCTCTTAAAACACTCACTACGGTGGAAGTAATGCACAGGATTTCCCCAGCAGATAAATTAAGAGAAACCCATTGATACCTTTACTTGAGTAACATCTATCCAGTCGCTTATCAACTTCCCTCATCTGTTGTTCTCTCATGTAACTGATTTTGTTGCTCATGGCTTCTTCTAAACCCCAGTAATGCATTTCGTTTACGCCTGGTAAGACAACTTTCAGTGCACTATCTTCATCTCAGCTGATCCCGGTGCAGCGGAGGTCACGACCTTCAAAAGCGATTTGTCTTACAACAATTGTGACACCCCCTCCCTCCCATCTTTATTCGATTGGAGCTTGATTGACCTGATTAGTTCATCACTTTGCATTCAGAACACTTTCACGGTTTTGTCACATTCACGCTAACCTTAGAATAGCACTGTTGATCAGCTGATTGCTTATGACCGGATCCGTAACCTTAGGTATCCTTTTTTCTTTGAGGTCATAACTCCCGTTGATTACGCAATAAGGCAAGTCACTTCACAACTATTTTTAAGGTCGTTTCCTCTGGCGCAGCATATGCACGATTTTAGAGTGATGTTAGCTACATAGTACATCAATGTTTAACAATGCTTACCGTGTGCAAACAGACATTTATCTAGACTAACTTGGAATCAAAAGCCGATAAATTGAGTAGCTTATATCTATAGGACAATTTATCTGCATCCCATTAGATCCCTCAACGCTAATAGTTACCATTTTTAAGTAAGAGTTGTGCATGAATCCATAGGAATAAAATTAAATTAGTTGACTTATCGCCAAACTTGGAATTAACCAAGAAGAATCGAAGCATCAACACGAACGTTTGACAAACAGAATAGTATATCTTCGGGTGCGGATCTGAATTGGGAAGCTGAGGTCATTCGTGTGCACAGTGTGCATGTAGTGGTCTCACTGCGGTATCAGTACTTATGTGAACATTAAAAAATTATGAATTAATGACGAAAATGTTTGCGCACATAGTCCTGATATACGAATGTACTGATGCAACAAAATAATTGTGAATATGTTGTACATACCAATGGTTTTCGCGTTTACTACTCGAGCACGGATGAACTACTTGAAACAGCTGTGTTTGTTTGTATTCACTATGCACAATTTTTATGTCAGAAACCCAAACTCATGTTCCCTGAACGCGTCTTCATAAAGGGTGGTGAAACCGTATCAACGTGTTTCTCCGCAATACAAGAAGTCTTTGCAACCGCAAAATGATCCATTTGAACTCAAATCCCGTAAAGAATGTTCCAGAGTGGAAATTGTTCCTTCTCGAAAATCTCCGCATCACTGTAGTAATCTTAGTTGAAAACCGTATAAAACGAAAAATTTGTTTGTTGGTGCGTTACACACACATCAGTTCCGGTGGAACTCCAACCCATTCCTGGACGTCACCAATATGCGCATTTGCATAGCACAAGCTCTACCACAACCGCTTTATATTTGGTCACCCACCGATTGCCATGGAAGATTTTCCTTAGAATTGACGTCCAGGCGAACCGACCGAGGTTGTGTATATGATGTCGTAGCTCAGCTGCTGAAGCGTACATAGACTTGGACGATGTCTATCCCTGCTTTCGAATCTCACCGAGGCATCTAATTTCGTCTAATTGGCTTGAATGAAACGAGATAGAGGGACAGAGTGCACTTTGCAAACTGGAGAGCTACATAAGAAAAACAATGGATATCCAGTTCTTCTCCGTCTGTGTACGTGATAGCTTTGTGTTTGACCACGATTTTTCATCCATGAACTAAGCGAGACTTCAAAATCCTACGAAAGTGGCTTGTGCTATATCAAGTATGTGCCTAGTGTAAATGATTCATTTAGCTTCCCAATGTTCATGTGGGTAGTATTCTCTGTTCTGTTAGAGATTGTTATCCGTGGACAATGTCGGTGGCCAAGAGCTCTCATTCACTGTGCCCAATTTGAAGAGTTTCACTGCCAATTACGATAAATTGCAACTGTGCTTTATGCGTCAAGAAAAAAATGTGTACTAATTTTCAAGCGGTTTCAGTGGACTTCACTAACGTGTTTTCGCACTGAGCTCTGAGATTAAAACCCTTCCACCCGAATTCGGTGGGAGGCAGCCTTGTTACCCCGCCTATCTTATCTCATGTGGTTCTTCACTCCAAGTTCTAGCTAGGTCAACAGTTCTCCGAAATGAA